TCACAGGGGTCGCCTAAGACCATCGGAAAACACATATATAATTACATATTGTTTTTGTGATTAATCACTATGTTTTAATTATGTTCAATTTGTAACAATGAAATTGGGGGTCACCACAACATGAGCAACTGTATTAAAGAGTTGCAGCAGTAGGAAGGTTGAGAACCACTGATATATAGTATGCTAGTCAATGGTATATAAATGTTACCTTCTAAGTAAGGAGAGGATAAGGATATGTATTTGTATTTGCAAAAGATTTAAAATGGAAATCCCATAGATTCAGCAATCCTACCTCTGGGTATTTGAAGAAGTCCAGAACACTAATTTGAAAAGACATAATCATGGAAAGAATACTCAAGGATTAATAAAAATGGTCTCCTATAGGGTGCTCTCAGGAAGACATCTAAGACAGGGGTGGGCAAACTTTTTGACTCGAGGGCCACAATGGGTTCTTAAACTGGACCGGAGGGCCGGAACAAAAGCATGGATGGAGTGTTTGTTGGAACTAATATAAATTCAAAATAAACATCATTACAAAAAAGGGTTCGGTCTTTTTTTTTTTTTTTTTTTTAGTTTTATTCATTTCAAACGGGCCGGATCCGGCCCACGGGCTGTAGTCTGCCCACAGCTGATCTAAGATCTAATTCTCAAACTACATGAGCCTTCAAAACTCAGAATCTAAACTGAGTAAGAAGAAGCCCCCTTACAACTTCCTGATATCTTTAACACTTTCTAAAAACTAAATAAGCAACTTTATTTTTTAATTTTCAATTACAGTTGACATACAATATTCTATTAGTTTCAGGTGTACAACTTAGTGACTAAACATTTATATAACATAGGAAATGATCACTTTGATAATTCTAGTACCCATCTGACACCCATACATAGTTATTACATTTTTATTGACTACTAGAGCCCCGATGTATGAAATTCATGAAGAGTAGGCCTTCCATCCCCCGGCTGCCAGCACTGGCTTCACTCTGGTACCCAGGACCCAGGCTCCCCTCACAGCCCCAGCTTTGTCCAGAAGGTTGTCCGGTCTAATTAGCATATTATGCTTTCATTATTATAGATATTACCTAGGGTAGTGATGGCGAACCTTTTGAGCTCGGCGTGTCAGCATTTTGAAAAACCCTAACTTAACTCTGGTGCCATGTCATATAGAAATTTATTGATATTGGCAACTATAATAAAGACATATTTTATATATTTAAATGCCATTTAACAAAGAAAAATCAACCAAAAAAATGAGTTCGCGTGTCTGACACGCGTGTCACAGGTTTGCCATCACTGCCCTAGGCTGTACTTTACATCCCCGTGACTGTTTTTATATCTGGTAATTTATACATCTTTTTTTTTCTTTTTCCTTTTTTCTTCTTTTTTCCTTGATGTCTGTAGCCAAACTTATCCCTGAGGCCCAGCAGAGGGGATCAGGGCCCATGCACCACAGTGTTTCTGTGGCAGCCTTCTGGGCCAGTGCCCGCCATTGGTGGGCAGGCACCGAATTTGATACGGCTGCAATTTATACATCTTAATCCAATCTTTTTTCACCCATCCCCACAATCCTCTTCCATCTGACAACCATCCATTTGTTCTCTGTAGCTGTAAGTTATTCATTTGTTTTTTAGATTCCACGTAAGTGAAATCATGTAATAGTTGTCTTTCTCTGTCTGACTTATTTCACTTCGCATAATACCCTTTAGGTCCACTCATGTTGTGGCAAATGGGAAGACTTCATTCGTTTTTATGGATGAGTACTATTCCACAGTATCACAAATTCTTTATCCAATTGTCTATCAATGAACACTTAGACTGTTTCCATAACTTGGCTACTGTTATTAACACTGCAATGAAAATACGGGTGAATATGTCTTTTCAATTTAATGTTTTGGATTTCTTCAGATAAATACCTAGAAGTAGGATTGCCGGAACTTTTGGTAGTTTTACTTTAAATCTTTTTGAGTAACCTCCATACTGTTTTCCATAGTGGCTGCCTCAATTTGCCACCCCACCAACAAAGCCCCAGGGCTCCCTTTTCTCCACATCCTGGCCAACACTTATTTGCTGATTTATTGGTGATAGCCATCCTGACAGGTGGTATCTCATTATGGCTTAAATTTGCCTTTCCCTGACGATTAGTGATGTTGAGCATCTTTTCATATGTCTATTGGCCATCTGTATGTCCTCTTTGGAGAAATGTATGTTTAGGACCCCAGCCCATTTTGTAATTGGATTGTTTGGGGTTTTTTTTTAGTGTAAGTTATATGAGTTCCTTATATATTTTGGATATAAATAAACAACTTTAATTACAACACAAGTGTTAAACTTACCTAGATGCTACAGCCCAACCTGGCAGACCAAATCTTTCATAATCTCCTCCATAAATATCACGGACCAGCTTGTCAGCGTGGGTGCTGTCCCCTTTGGATGCCATTTCCAGAGCCTCTTCAAAACTTTCACAGCCAGTCAATAAACTGCATAAGCCCAGAAAGGTACCTCCTCCAAGGCTAAAGAAAATAAAGAAACTCTATGAGCTGCATTTACACACTGTATTCTTTCTCCAGAGTAAAAGGGTGGAGGACTTATTTATTCAATAAACACATAGAAACAACATATTGCTAATGCTTAGTGCTGAAACATTAACATGAGGAAAGGTTAAAAATGCTTAGCAAAACCTAACTGGTCAGGTCAAAGAATAAAAGGAAAAAGATCACTTGGAAGAAACAACAAGAGGACAGGAGGGTCTTTTATTTTATTATTATTATTATTTTTTTAAATATATTTTATTGATTTTTTACAGAGAGGAAGGGAGAGAGATAGAGAGTCAGAAACATCGATGAGAGAGAAAGATCAATCAGCTGCCTCCTGCACATCTCCCACTGGGGATGTGCCCACAACCTAGGTACGTGCCCTTGACCGGAATCGAACCTGTGACCTTTCAGTCCGCAGGCCGACGCTCTATCCACTGAGCCAAACCGGCTAGGGCAGGAGGATCTTTTATATCTTCCAATAACTTCATCTGATCCTTTATACTTTTTACTGTTAACAATAAATGTTTTTATGTGCATGTAAAAGGATTAAGTGCTAAAAATGTGTACCATCTGAAGTGAAAGGAGAAAACTTCTGATTCTACATGATTTCCAGGAAATGATTTTGTGGAAGGCCTACTTACTTGGCCTGACAAGGCTGAAAGCAGTTCAGTGCTACGTTACCATTTTCAGGACCCAGAAATAAACACAGCGAGGAGATTTATGTCAGGCTGGGCATCATGTTAAGACAGAAGTTTACTTGGTTCTATTATTCTTTTGGATATGCTCACAAAATAAAATCATGTCTCTCTAATCCCTAAAATCAAAGCCGTTGCTCCCTCGTCTCACCTAAACTTCAAACAGGTTCTATCCTTGAATCACTGTTGGAATTTAGTAAACAGGCTGAATTTCTATCTTTTAGAATCGATTTAACACATTAAGTGCCCAGACTGTTTTGTCTTCTGGATGGAAAGTATAGTGTCAGTCACTGGTGACTGATAGGGCGCTTAACGCGTTAAGTAGGTAATATAGTTGTCCCCTCTTATCTGTGGGGGACACGTTCCAAGACCTCCAGTAGATGCCTGAAACCGCAGATTGTAATGAACTCTATTTTTCCTATATGTACCCATAATAAACTTTAATTTATAAACTAGGCATAATAAGCGATTATCAGTCACTAATAAACAATTCTAACAATACACTAATAAGTTATGTGAACGTGTGCACTCGTGTCAGGGGACCCCGGGCTGACGTCCTCCTGTAGGCTCAGTGCTTCTGGGGCACCACGTAGCCATCGATCAGAACACAGGTTCTGCTCACCTTCCACCGCGGGTTTAATGCCTTTCCCACTAACTAAGCCCTTATCACACACTGTTGCTGTAATGTTGGCAGTTTGAGGCGTGCTAGCAGAACTAGCAGGCATTTTTCTCCTTCACAATTTTAGGCATAGAAAATTTATTCCCCTCAACATACGATTTATTTTCTTTATTAAGTCAAGAACTATCACTTAAAGAACTTTAAGGTGTCTCGTTGGCATGTCTGGATTGCCGGCATCACTGCTCTTGTGCTTTGGGACCATTATTATTGAATAAAATAATCACTTCCTATAAGTGCTGTAACTCCGCCACAGCGGGTCTGATAATCAAGATGCTACTCTGTGACTAAGGGGTAGGGAGTGAGTGTACATACACAGAGTGGAGAGATCAGACAAAGGGAGGATCATGGGCAAGACAGCATGGAGATTTCATCATGCTACTCAGAACAGTGTGCACTTTAAAACTCATACACTGTTTAACTCTGGAAATTATGATTTAATATTTTCGAACTACAATAACAGAAACTGCAGAAAGCAAAACCACAGATAAAAGGGAACTATGGTACATACCTGTAATTCTTTGGCATTATTACAATGGAGGTAGATTTTTAACCACCACAAAAAGAAAATAATTTTATTAAATTTAAGTATTATTTAAATAGGAGTGCTACTTTAAAATATAAATGAGGCCCTAGCCGGTTTGGCTCAGTGGATAGAGCACTGGCCTGCGGACTAAAGAGTCCTGGGTTTGAGTGCAGTCAAAGGCACATGCCTGGGGGTTGTGCAGGAGGCAATCAATGATTTTCTCTAATCACTGATGTTTCTATCTCTCTCTCTCCCTTCCTCTCTGAACTCAATAAATATATTTTAAAAAATTGAAACGAGCTTTCCACAAATCAATCTGAAATATCCCCAAATCAATCTAAATTAAATAAAGGAGTCTCCACCCTCCTTAAATGTCAATCAAGTATATATCAGAATAATAAGAAAAAATTTAAAAATCTCATTTCACATTCATATTTCAGGTACTATAGAAAATTTGCAGGGATATTTGGAACATTAATATTATCCCATAAAGAGCGCATACTAATTCATCCTATCACGTTATCCAATACTCTGCATGAAACCGGCAGATGGCAAGCTTTAGGCTTACATACACCTATAAAAATATAAAGAAAAATGCTTTGGAAAATAAGAAAGTCACTGGAACCATTCCAGACAAAAATTCAATTTATGTTTTTATTGAACTTAGAGAGAAAGGAAGTGAGAAGGAGAGAAAGAAAGAAACACTGATATGAGAGAAACCTTGATGGGATGGATGCTTCCCTTATGCACCCCAACCGAGAATGAACCCGCAACCTGGGTATGTGCCTTGACCAGGAATTGAACCGGCAATCTTTTGGTACACAGGATGATGCTTAACTGGCCAGGGCAAAAATTCACTTAACATTATGGAAGTTTTAATGCCAATTGGCACTAACCCAATATAAATACTTAATGATATTAAATTGAGTCATTACATGATATTATCTGCAACGCTTTAATTTATATTTGCACATCTATATTTTTTGCACAAATATATACTTTTCTGATGAAGCTAGTATTAATATATTGATTTCATAACAGTGCGAATGCTGCAAAAAGAAAAATGTTACCTTGTCCCAGTTACTCGTTTGTAGTTGTCTTTGGAATGGACTGCTAGAATACTGACTCCCGAGCCAATGTTCACTACCAGCAGTGGATAGGGGTCGTCCAGGTTAAAAGGCATCTTTTGGCATCTCTCAGGTTCTGAGGCATTAGCAAAATAATAGCACTCTGCTTGTCCATTGAAACTGACAGAATCTATATACAGCAAGCCCTTTACAAGACAGTCAAGTTCATCCAGTTTGTGCAGGTGGAGGTTTCCAATCTGCAAAAAAAATATCAACGAATTTTATAAAGTGAACAAAAACCAGCATTCAAAATACTGACTCAATTATACTGTACTAGAGGCCTGGTGCACAAAATTCATGCAGGGGATGGGGATTCTCCATCAGCCCAGCCTGCACCCTCTCCAATCCGGGATCCCTCTCACAAACCGGGACGGCTGGCTCCTAACTGCTCACCTGCCTGCCTGCATGATCGCCCCTAACTGCCTCCCTCCCCCGTTGGCCTGGTCGCTCCATTCAGCCTGCTGTTCAGTCGTTTGGTCGTCCCTCACTAACCCCCCTGCCGGCCTGGTCGCTCCATGCAGCCTGCTGTTCAGTCGTTTGGTCGTCTCTAACCCCCCCTGCTGGCCTTGTTACCCCACACAGTCTGCTGTTCAGTCATTTGGTTGTCCCTCACTAACCCCCGCTGCCGGCCTGGTCGCTCCATTCAGCCTGCTGTTCAGTCGTTTGGTCATCCCTCACTAACCCCCCTGCCAGCCTTGTAGCCCTATGCAGCCTGCTGTTTGGTTGTTACTGTGAGGGCGTCCTGACCAATTTGCATGTTACCCTTTTATTAGTATAGATAATTTTCATGTACTTTACAAAACTTCAAAATCATCTACGACCCCCACATTTTTACTTTTTTCTTTTGTGTCAAATTCTCTTTGGGACTTTATCTAGTCCAGTGGCCTCAGTGACGGTGGTGTTATCTCTGGAGGCATTTTGGAAACCTGTGGGGACATCTCAGTTGTCACGAAGATGGGATAAAAGGACCAAACTAACATTCAATGGCAGGGACTTGGGATGCCTGACATCTTTCCTGGCTTTTGGAACATATGCCCAAACAAACCGGTCTCAAAGTGATGAAATGTATGTTTAAATTACTCAATAAATTGAAATCAGGATTATCAATTAAAGAAAAATAATAATGAACATTTAGACTTTTAAACAATCCTAAATTACAAGGGGGGTAGTTTATGCAAGCCATATATAAATGATCACTTTTGTTCTATTAACACTTTTCTTATATGAATTGAGAAATTAAATGGCATACATGCATATTTTCAAGGCAAAATTTTAGTAGTCCCAAATACCAACTTTTAAATATTGATTCTAATGAAAAGGACTAGAAGCCTGGCAAACCTCTACTAGCACATAACCCAATCAACACTTACATAGTCCTCTTGCCATATCCAAATAATTGCCAAACTGCCTTTGAGACAGTAACATAAAACCAGGAAAAAAAGGGGTAACGGACTTTTAATCAAGTGTCTACTAATCAGAAGACACTGGCTTCAGTTGGGGTTTGGGAAGGAGGTGGCTCTGGGGAAGATGACTATATGGCTAATACTCAACAACTGCAAGCACAATACAATAATGGTGAGAATAATTCAAGCCACATTTCTATCTGGCTTTGTACACTGCCAAATTAAAGTTCTTTTTATTGTTGCAGTCCCTAAAAAGAGCAGGTTTTTAGCAAATATCATATACAACAATGACCCCAAATCTGGCACTTCTTACTTAACTTATAAAGGTGTTTAAATGCCCCAAATCAAAAGCTAGTCATGAATCAGCAGGAGGAACTAAGCTAAGAAACACACTGGATGGAAACCTAGCCTCATATTTAAAAACTGAAGAGACTGGGTATCAATTTCTGGCTTTGAGTAACAGACACCTACTGTGCGAAAATCTTTTTCAAACTTGTAAGCACCACCTCCTGTAGCACATAGCACCGTGTGTAATGTGGAGAAGTTTTTATCTCTTCCCATTTGGATAAAAGTAGGCAGGTCCTGGGTTGGAAATCTGATAAAGTGCAGGTTCCCTCTTCGGCCAAAAAGTGTTAAATCCTTCAGTTCAAGGTGTACATCCCGAATACCTGTGGATCCGTATGCTACATTAGAAGTCAAATATTTCCGGATACTTTTCAAGCTCTCAACTTCTTCTTGTTCTTCCTCTGCTGTGATATCAATCGGTTCAAAATATGAGAGTTTTACTAGAGTTCCCCCAATGTCCATACCAAACCATGGGAAAGCTGTGGATAAAAACAGGAAAAATGTATAAGTACTAGAGGCCTGGTGCACAAAAATTTGTGCACTTGGGGGGAAGAGGAGGGGGTCCCTCAGCCCGGCCTGTGCCCTCTCGCAGTCTGGGACCCCTCGGGAGATAACAACCTGCTGGCTTAGGCCTGCTCCCGGGTGGCAGAGGGCAGGCCCAATCCCTAGGTGCAGCCCCTTGTTGGGCTCAGAGCAGGGCCGATTGGGGAGTTGGGGCACCGCCCCTGTCATGCGCAGAGCAGGGCGGCTCAGGAGGTTGCGATGCCACCCTC